TGAGACCAGGGTTCAATCGCCCCATTCGCCCGACATAAAGCCGAGCGACTCCAGTTGTTCTCGTCAGTCGAGAGTACTCTCCGGCAAACGCTACAATGTTTTGTGTTATTCGCCGAAATTGGCAGCAACAGCAATTTACTCACACTTATTGAAAACTAGTACCAGAGGTCCAAAGGCCTTCGGGGCACTAGGAGCGGGTCATTGGTGAAGGAGGGATCTACTTAACTCATAAGCCAAAATATCACTTTTCTATCTTTTCTCTTTGTTTTATTCAAATAAAACCGTTGGCATTTTTGAATGGGATGACCTACTAGCTATCACTCACCCACCCTGCATTTGCAGGCCACAATGCCGCACAATTACCACTGTGAAACCATGTCACAGTGGTGATTGTGCGGCATTGTGGCCTTCTTCGGGTCCCAGCCCCCGTCCTTCTGGGAGGATGGAATCGACAAGCTGCCTGAGCGTTGGCGTCGAGTAGTGGATGGTGATGGTGCATACCTCTAATCTTCAGGCTGGTTCGCTATTGAGATATTTACAAAAAAGTCGGGGGAAAAACATATGCATCAACCTAATACTTGACTGATACTTTTAGGAAATGTTGCGGTTCCAGAACCCGTTTCGATGACGAAGTTAGGATGCGTAGGGGGTAAAATTGATTGTAAATTGAAAAGATTGCTGGGTTTATCATCTGTACAATAGCAATTTACCTCGTCTTGCGCAGGGGTGCAAGTACAGGTATTCTTGACTGTACAATTTACGAGGTGAGTAGCATTCAAGTCACCGCAAATGTATGAAAACATAGTATCTCGAGGAATCATTGCGAAGGTTCCGTTGTGACGAATGAAGTGCGAATCTAGGAAAGGAGTTGGAGGTAGAGCGGATTAGTGACTGATATCACGTCCTCAAATATTCTTTTCTGTACGTTCGGTTGTAATGTGAGATCAAAAGTGTGACTTTTACCTTGCGAACGCGAGATTTCGACTTTCAAGAGTACGAGTTCATACCAAGTAGGGTAGTTTAATTTCACAGGTTTCGTCATCGATTGATTCCTTGTAAATTCTATATAAAAAGCAACCTGACCATGGGAAACCACAACTACATCCTCAAAATCAACATGGTTCGGAACAAAAGGTGATTCCAGGATACTTAGTTGATTCCGAAAATTCTTCAAGTTGTGCTGTTTACCGGACCACATTTTCTACCTACGCAACTTCCCATATGAGGGCATCGTTTAGTATAACATTTGAGGATTGCACTCAAAACGATGTTTTGTAAGGTTATTTTTATTTGTTCGATGACCATATCTTTCGACAGAATAACGACACAAGCTTCTCTTACGATGGGATCAATCTTCAGGATGTGAGTGGTTATTGACGAGCAATTGCGATCTAAAGACGAGCATAAAGTAGACTCAGACGTAATCGGAAACGTTAGCTGACACATGTTGGCGAGGTAATATAAAGAAGCGTTACTAAAGTGACAATGTTGACTAGCGAGGATCTTTTAAGGGGTCGACGAGGTTGAGAAAGAGAGACGAGAGGAATTAGAGACGACAGGAATTTCTTCGTCCAAGCTTTCTGACACATTTTGCAAAAACAAAGCAAAATAAAGACGCATGTTCTACAGAGACGTCTTCCCAGGCATAATGCGAAGAAGCTGCATGTTGCGATACTGTACAGCAGAATACTTATCATTACGATCGCCGTTCGCGGCCTGCAGTCAGGGTTATTGATCATGACCGAGCACATGTAGCAGTCGATCATCTCGCAGAAAGGAGCAGATGGACATGTAAAACCATTCGAGACCATTTTAGTTCCGTATTTGAATTTCGCTCTTACGTAATGTTTGTGCAAACATACACTTGCTGGAAAACATTATCGTTGTTTCCTTTTGGAGTGCTGTGATATCCATACAGTGGTTTCACTGAATTTCCGAGAATGGTACCAAGCCTTCAAGAAAGACTGCACCTCTGACACATTTTACGAGAATATTGTCTAGAGGGTTGCTTTCTATTTCTTGCGACATGGTGGATTTACAGAGGGTGAGAAGCATAACAATACTGAGTAAAGATGTGAGTCCTAGAAATGAGTTCGACAACGTAGTGCGTATTAATTGAAATATTTTCTGCATAAGAAACTATTCGTTTTGCCTTACGATGCTCTCTGAAGTGACAGTATCTGGGTTCGTTATCGAAAGTTCCGTAGGAATGAGCATGTTTACCCATCGTTTCACGCTGTTCTAGCGTAAAACTTGGCTTTAAAGCTTCATCTCCCATTGGGGCATCGAACACTCACTGTGCGGACTTGATTATCCTCTCCTGGATGTAACTCCTGAATGATGCCCATTTTCCATTGCATACGTGCGCTGTATCATCTTCCATCAATACTATCGAGCCGACAGTAGGACCATTTCTGGTTGATTTTTTCCTTGCTTTCGAATTGTGAAAATTCTGTAGAGTTGTGAGGTATGAATGAGACCAGATGTCCCCAAAATTTCCTTTTTGTTTCTTCTAATAGCTGGAAGTGCTTCTTTACGAGAGGAGATGAGGAGAATATTTAGGGTCGTAATCGGGTTCAAAACTCCATGAAGAGATTTTTGCATGCGGTTGCAGGAAGTCGATAGGGCGAGTAGAATTGTCCGCCAAAGTCTGATGATACGTACATTAAAGACACATGGTACGCTCAAACACATTGAGGGTGTATGAGACTATCAGCCCCCAGCTGTCGATGTGTCGTGGTCCCCCGCCCAAAACTGCACGGGGTCAGAGTACGGGGCCGTGGGAAAGTCGTAATTCCTTGCTACACCGCCCGTTTCGCAAACTCACGTTTTTACTAACACCGTCCGCGCGGCGCGTGTCGCGTGCAGCTCTTGGCTTTTTGCCAAGTCCTGTAATTGCGCTTTGGAATACAAGTACAACGCAATTTCTTTATGCGGATAACATTTTAGGTGCTGCAAAATAAGAACCGAAGATGATGACGAGGGCTAGAACTCAAGAGCAACTGTGGTGCTTCTGCAATATCCCTCAGAGGCCGCGCATTCCCACAGAACATGACAATAAAAACGGCCTAAGCGTCCCACTCGTTAGTTTGAAGTATTTCTATAGCTTTAGAGCCGGATTCGAGCCGGATCGCAGAAATGCACACGCGATTTTAAT